TGGCTTGATTACATTTATCTGCACCGCATCAAGTTTAGGTAAATTTCTCAGTTGCTTGACAACCTAATTAAAGTTATCTGTCAAATATGTAGAAGCAGTATGGAGAGACGAATTTCCCTATTTGTCGACATTTCTTTATTTCTCACTTCTTATTGCATATTAAAATAAATTTCTAGCGAGTACGGCGCGCAACAGCTGTTGACGGATTTCGCGTACGTATCGACGTGGGTCACGGAGTGCTCGATCATCTCGCAAAACGTCAGGAATCACTTGCTGACGAACGAGGTCCTACGTCGTTGCGAGGGCGTTGGTCGGCTTCTGTTGAGGCACCCGGGCGAAGCTATCGCTATGCGCAAACGATTGGGTGAGCCAAATATGACATTTACTTGAAATACTTTTGTACACTTTGGTGTACAAGTGGAATACTTTAGTATACTTGTTTTGCGATGGAAGAGAGTGCAGATAAACTGTTGAAATGTTATACTTTTGTGAATACTTCTACTTTATTACCAGCTAATTCGTAACTTGTCTAAGAATTTTTTTTATTAAAGACTCGATACATTTGCGATGTTTCTTCTTAAAAAGAGATTAAGGACGGTGTTCATAGTCAGATCTTATATTTAAGATCGTCTGAAGATCATCTTTAAATGCCCCGTAGCCAATGAAATGTTCCATACAGCATCTTAAGATAAACTTAAGATGAACTTGAATACAAGACTACGAATACTGTCCTAAGCTCTCTCTCTCTCTCTCTCTCTCTCTTTGCCTTTGCGCAATTTCAGCTCGAAGAACGAATGAGCGTGGGTCGCCAGAATCTCCAGGTCTGGAACGCATGCCCGCCGAGATGTACGTTCCGAATCAAGAACAGTGGCTCGAGTTGCGCGCTCCTAAGCGATACAATTTTTGCTGTATGGAATGAAGGAAGTAAAGAATAAATAGTCAATCGGAGCTTTAATCAGCACGTTCTTTTTCCAGAATTATACGGTTGTATTATCAGATAATTCTCATAATTTACCAATGCTGAATGCGGCAGCTCAATTCATTACAAACTCTTCTCGTAAATATACTGTACTTAGAATAAAATTGCAAAAGAAGTCAATAATTCATAGAAATTAATCCGATTATTTTTAGAAATCTTTTTTTTTTATGAATCGCAGAATTTCAAGGCGGATAGGTGAACATATTAGTCACGAAAACATCATTTTTGATCATTTTTTATGCATCATGGTGACGTCAAAATAGCCCACCTATTTGTGACATCATTAAGACATCAAAATGTTGTAAAAATGATCATCTTGTACTTATTTTTTATATTTGTATTTATGTCATTATTAATTTTATTTATGTGATTCTACACCATTGACGATATGAAGACTCCGTTTTTATATTTGCTTTTTATATTTCAATTCAAATTAAAAAGTTAAAAATTATATAAAAATTTTAAAACAAAAAATCTATAAAGCAAAACAAATCGGAACAATTATCCTGCTATGTCCTGGTCGTGGTTCTAAGTAGCGTTACAAGTCGAAATTTTTGTTATTTATCTTTGTAGCTCCACACTCGTGAACAAATTCTAGCCTAGGAGTGTCTAATTGTAAGACTGATTCTACGCTATATTAATGTTTTATTTTGATGAAAGAAATTTATCTTGCGGCTACGTGTGCAAACTGTAATAATTTGTTGCCGATATAGTTTTGTGTTCTCGAGAAACCTAACAAAGGGTGGAAGCCTTTCCATAATACAACCGCGTATTACGTTACGTAGGTACAAGATGCGCGGTGTCATGCACCGTGGCGTCGTTCGCCGTTCCTAGTAGTCAAACGTCGGCGTTCGTTGTCAACACCACGGTATTACAATAACAGCAATCTTGATAGAAACTTTAAACAATGTAAAATCCCAGAAACGTGTTACGTTACGTGTACAACGCATGCAGGTTGACAATCGAGAAATCGCTAAAATCTTTTCAAGCGATCTGACATGGAGAAAGTCATGTACATGGATTCGCGTGTATTTTGGCGATGTAGAATAGATAGTCTTCATAGTCACAAAATGCTATATTTGTTCTACATTTCTATATCACCAAAATATACGCGAATCCATTGTACATGACTTTCTCAGTCAGATCGCTTGAAAAGGACCGAACCATGGGTTTCGACCCATGGTCGAAACGTAGCGAGTCCTAAACATAAAAATTGCCAGATACGGCCAACCAAATTTGATGTTTATAATATTGATGTTATATAACTGTTACTTGGCGTTCACTCGGTCGAGACTCGTCACCCGCGGCGTGTCGCACCGCAAAATAAGAACGCGGCGAGACAACTCATGTTTCACTCCCGGTTGGGGTTCTCAATTCACCTTATGTAATCAGGTTGCCTACGTGCGAACCAAATAATCCACTTGAAAAACCTTATTAGATACTTTCATCAACAAAATCATACACAAGTGTGCGCTTAAAGTCTTGTAAGCGACTTATTAAAATCTTATGAAACGTCTCGTTTAAAAATTATTTCGTGTGTTTTTCTCACTGTCAATTCCTCGGCAGATCTCTGTCCAGAGGTAGGGTAAAGTTTGACAGTGTAATTGTGTCTTGTCTAAATTACTGGGATTGTAATGAACAATTCATTATAAATGCGGTACCGGAAGACCACGGGTGCTTCTTGTGCGTATCGATCACTCGTGCGAGAGACGTGTTAGTCGTGCAAGGTGAGTCACATAAGGGAGATCAAGTTGCCAGGCGAGACGGAGCCTCGCCTGTCAATTGCCGCAGGCAGAATTCTGCACATTGTCTAGCCGTATCTTTGTGCGACGAAAATGCGCGGTGTCACGGAAAGAACGCCTCTGAGGAGATCCACGGATTCGCCGGATTACGTCGAGTTCGCCAGCCTCCTGAGGACCCGGAGAACGCGGCTCCGACAGTTCCAATGCTGCGTCTGCGGCATTCTCATGTAAGTCCATGTGAATCACGTACGAAATATAGGAAATAACCAGAGTTGGGTAAGTCATCTTTTTTTTCTGTTAACTAAGTTACGTTAAAGTTAACAGCCTTGAAAAATTTGACTTTAATCCATAATAAAATTGAATTGAATTAAAAGTTAAGTTAATAATAAAAAGAAATTGAAAAGTTAAAAGTTACGTTTGTTTTATTTTTATATAAAATCTCAGAGACTCGCGATCACGTAAATTGCGTGGAATTTCACGACCAGCGTTTCGACGAATCACTTTTTACTCGGTAGATTCTCCAATACGATTCTCTATCATTTCAGAGTGGTTTTCACCATGGCTCTCGTGGTGTCCATCAGCTATTCCATGAGCCATACCAACTCCACCGATCCCGCGAACGACAACGCAACGTTCCCCGGCAATTTAGGCAACGTCTTAAGATTGGAACTGGCACCTGGATCTCCCTCGCACGCGGCCTTCAGCAGCACCGCTAGTGCCACTGCCGGGCCCAATACCGTCCTGATGTCTAACGAGGACGTAGACACCCCGAAGAAGCGTCTCAGCCAGCTAGAATACACGCAGGGATTGCGAGCTGGCGAACGGGCGATGAGGGATCGTTTATCCGCGGACATGGTCGCCGCGAAGTCACCGTTGCCATCTCCGTCCCCCGAATCCAGACATCGCCACGCCGTGAGCACGTGCTCCAATGTTAGCACCCTTGCTTTAGCAGCGGTAGGTGAAATCGCGGCGACGAGACTGATTGAGAAAATGAGGTGAGACTTTATTCTCTTCTGTATGCGTGTCATAAACGCATACATGACGTAGAACTTTAATTAATTAAAAACAAAGTAATAAGATTAATACTCATTAATTAGCGATTAGAATTATCATGTAAAGTCATAATATGTCCAGTTGATCTTTACACAGGATTTTTAAAATATTTTCCTACTTCAGGTCCATCCACGATGAACCGTCGGCGATCGACACCTTCTTCGACAGCGGCTGGTTGCCGAAAAACGTATGCGAACGATACTTGAATCGCACCTGCAAAACCGGCAGGTATCGAACCATCGATGGCAGCTGCAATCGGCCGAGAGGATGGGGCACCAGCATGACGCCCTTTCGAAGAGCCCTACCACCCGATTACGCCGACGGGATCGAGTCGCCTCGAAAGGCACAATCCGGGAAGGAGCTGCCTTCCGCCAGGGAAGTCAGCCTGAAGGTGCACAAACCCTCGGCCAGCAGCAATCCGTCCTTCACGGTGATGCTGGCGGTGTTCGGCCAGTTTCTGGACCACGACGTCACCGCGACCGCGCTCAGCCAGGGTGTCAACGGAAGTTCCATAGCGTGCTGCCCGCCGTCGGGAGGACGACATCCCGAGTGTTTTCCCGTGCGAGTAGGCGCCGGCGATCCTGTGTACGATCTGACTGGCAGAACCTGCATGGACTTTGTGAGATCGGCGCCGGCCCCGCGATGCAAGCTCGGTCCCAGAGAACAGCTCAATCAGGTAATACAAATCGCGTTCGTACTCGGGGGAGAGAATTTTCTCTTGAAGTTTATCCTGAAAATCGTGCAATCGTAGGACAACTCGGCATTTCGAAGGATTTTATGAAAGTTTTTTTGGAATTTCGGATCGCCGAGAGAAATGGAGACTGGAAAATTTTGTAGACAATGTTGCGTCCAGGTGAGCGCCTTCATCGACGGTTCGGCTATTTACGGCTCCGACAATGAGACCGCCCGTGACCTGCGCGAGTTCACCGGCGGCCGTTTGAGGATGCAGCTCACTCCCGACAACAGGACTCTGCTGCCGCCGAGCACGAATCCCAATGACGGCTGCAACCGGGAGGCCGAGCGGCGCCGCGGCCGCTATTGCTTCGCCGCGGGCGACGCCAGGGCGAACGAGAACCTGCACCTGACCACGATGCACCTCCTCTGGGCGCGACAGCACAACAGGATCGCGAGCGAACTGGCCAGGGTGAATGCTGCTTGGAGCGACGAGACGCTCTATCAAGAAACGCGGCGCATCGTTGGCGCTCAGTTGCAGCACGTCACGTATCGCGAATTCCTGCCGGTTGTTCTGGGCGACGAGAGAATGAACGAGCGTGACTTGAAGCTCCTCAGGTCGGGCTACAAGAAGCGAACGCACGATCCGGACGAGCTGGAGAACGACCCGACGGTCGCCAATCACTTCGCGGCCGCGGCTTTCCGGTTCGCTCACACCTTGCTACCGGGGTTGATGAGAACGACGGACGCCGAGAAGGGCGCGCCGTCCTACACGGAGCTGCACAGGATGCTCTTCAACCCGTACAGCCTCTACGCCGCCGATGGGATCAGACGTTCGGTTACCTCGGCCATGACCAATGTTATTCAGAGGTACTCGACACACGTGACTTCGCAGCTGACCAGTCATCTCTTTGAAGACCCCCTGGCCAATTCCACGGTACCATGCGGCCTCGACCTGGTGTCGTTGAACATTCAGCGAGGACGGGATCATGGATTGCCGGGATACGCTAGGTGGCGGGAACATTGTGGTCTGGGAAAGGTGGAAACTTTCAGCGACCTCGAAGGCCACTTGGATCATCAGGCTCTGGAACAGATATCGATGCTCTACGAGAGTGTCGACGACGTGGATTTGTATACCGGCGCGTTGGCGGAAATACCGGAGTCGGGCAGCTTGATCGGGCCTACGTTCGCTTGCTTGATTCTCGACCAGTTCGAGCGTTTGCAAAAGGGAGATCGTTTCTGGTACGAGTTTTCCGACCAACCGTATCCTTTCACAGAAGGTACAGTCAATTTTACAAAGCTTATAACTGTTAACTGTTTTTTTAGACATTTTTATTTTAGACATTTTGACAAATGTAAAATAAATAATTTTTTATATTTCTAGAACATTTTCTTGCGTCAAGATCTTAAATGTTAAATGGGAGTGAAACACCATAGGAATCGTAATATTTATTGCGAAACAAATTTCAGATCAGCTCGTGGAGATACGCAAGAGTTCCCTGGCAAAGTTAATATGCGATTGCTCTGACGGAATCACGCACGCTCAGATGAGAATTATGCGTTCTGTTGGTCCTGATAACCCTATGGTATCATGCGAAGATCTACCAGGACCTTCCTTTGCACCGTGGAAAGAAAATCACGCTTCCGATTCATCGTAGCACTTGAAACTTCAAACATAAAGCGTATATGTATGTGTACAGGGTACCTCGAAACTATTGGATAAACTTTTAATAAGAAATTCATTGAGCAATTTAAAGACTTTTCTAATTGTTCAAAGAACATTTGTCAACTTAAACGAAGCCAAATAGATAACAAAATTACGTTCTTCACTTTATTTCAAACGGTGTTTACTATAAACAATATAAACACGTGATATTAGAAATTAGAAAGTTGCAAAAATAATTATATTCGACGGCATTTTTTAAAAGAATATATATATATATATATATATATATATATATATATATATATATATATACATAGAGGAAAGTCCCCTATTACGAGATAAACTCCTAATATGAGATAGCAGGGTTTTTGCTAAATTAACAGGCATGTATTGGTTTCATCGTTTATTTATTGCCTTTGGAGTGAAATCTGTTCAGTGGAAAATTCATTGTCGCCGTCGTAACAATTTAATGAAAATTTTGAATTTCATTTAAATAAATTTACTTTATTTACTACATATAATTACATATAATTACATAATATAAATAACATTTTGTAGTTTTAAATTTGAATATTAATAATTTTAATTAAAGTAAAACAGTACGTCGCGTTATAAAGGTAAAGGTTTCCCAAAATCTCGCCCACTGTTCTAACAATTAAGCTACTATATGGACTATCGAGAGAAATAATTTAAATTTTAAATATATTTATAATAAGCAGTTTTATATACACATTCAATGACATAATAAAAACATAAATAATGTATCCTGTTTTTGTGTTAACGTCACGTTTTATAATATCCCATACAGCTTCTAAATAAAAAGAATCATTTAATTTCTCGTCCATCGAATGTCTCACGAGCTAACATATAAATTCGCTTCTTCCCTTTTTAATTTCTAAAGTGGATGCACCACTTCGGGAACGCGCAGCTCGTGTTACGTCTCACGACTCAAGCGGCTATAATCTCGCGAAATATTCATTACCCCGTCCGTATAAATTTCGATGAATCACCACGCCAATACGCTATCTCGCTACATATTTCATTCGCGGCAAAACGTCGCACGCTTCTCAGTCAGGCGCCGACATTTGCCGGTAATACAGTCGCGCGAGCTGGAGGCTTCTCTCTCTCTCGCGGGCCTGCGATGCACGCGTTCCATTGACGCGAACGGGCAGAGCGAGAGGATGGAGAACGAGTTAAGAATTGTGGTGAAATGGAGCGGAAGGGAGTACGATATCCTCGATATTCAGGAGGAGGATACGGTACTCTCTCTGAAGGAGCGTATACACCGGGAAACGGGCGTTCGCCCGGAACGGCAGAAGCTGCTGAATCTAAAGTTTAAAGGTTATGTTTTGAACTGTCTCTCGACAAGCTGCGTCGGACAAAATAATTGTTGTTGCAATTCCAATCGTTTACCGCGGGGCCTGTCGTCTCGAGAGAGATGAGGCTGAACGTTCTGCCGTTATCATCTCCGTCTACAACTGTTTAACTTGTATATTTCGCATATTACATTACGTGCATATATGTGTACAATGTAATATAAAATCCGCCAATAGATTCATTTCGTAAACGCTTGGGCCCCCGGTTTCACCAAACGTCGCTTAGCTTTAATCTTGGTTTAATTCACGTCTGTCTCTGTCTGGAGTAACACTTGGAAAGAGACAGAGAACGTATTAAGCTAGGCTTCAAGTTAAGAGACATTGGTGAAACCGAGTCTTAGGCCTAGTTTCACCAAACGTCGCTTAACTTTAATCTTAGTGTAATTTATGTTTATCTCTTTCTAACGAATTAAGCTAGAGTTAATCAACGTTGGTGAAACCAGGCCTTAAAATACATGATTCAAATGGCTGCGAAATGAATGCAGATTTGCACAGTTTTTACAGCCAGTCTAGCATTATATCTTGTTGGCAGACTCTGTGTTGTATTTTTGCTGGCATTCCATTCGACAAAATTGGCAGCAGACACTTTGAAAATCTATTCTCTACAGACTTGGCTACTCGAGTACGAAAAATTACAGACACACCATGTAGGACATATAAAATGTACAGAGATAATGTGTAGATTAAATCCGTGATGGTTCTTAAAATAATTGTTTCAACTTATACACCGATCGTTTTTATTCTTGAGGGAAAATTAGTGTAAATTTCTAACGTAGATGCAGGTAATCTAGATACACGCGCGAGGTACTCCCGAAAAGAAAAATTATAAAAACTTGTCCTTTATTAGGCAAACCAGCGCAAGATGAGGACATGATCGGCAAGTTGAACCTGAAGCCTGGCTTCAAGCTGATGCTGATGGGCTCGCGGGAAGAGGACATCGCCGAGGTCAGTCAAGCGCCCGAGAACGTACCTGATGTGATAAACGATCTCGACATAGAGGAGGAGGAGGTGGAGATCGAGAAGGCCGAGATAAATCTGCGTAAAATCCAGACGCGAATCGACCGTTACGCGATCGTGGAGCTGAATCCTCTCCGGGAGGGTAAGAGGCTCCTCGTGCTGGACATAGATTACACCTTGTTCGATCACAGATCGGTGGCGGAGAGCGGCGCGCAGCTGATGCGCCCGTATCTTCACGAGTTCCTGACGCGCGCTTACAAGAATTACGACATCGTCATCTGGTCGGCGACCAGCATGAGGTGGATCAACGAGAAGATGAAGCTGCTGGGGGTCTCGAATCATCCCAACTACAAGATCGCCTTTCACCTGGACGTCCTCGCGATGATCACCGTTCACACGCCCAAGTACGGCGTCGTCGGCGTGAAGCCGCTGGGCATCATCTGGGGCAAGTACAAGCAGTTCTCCGCGAAGAACACGATAATGTTCGACGACATCAGACGAAACTTCATAATGAATCCGCAGTCGGGACTGAGGATAAAGCCTTTCAAGCACGCCCACACCAGCAGAGTTAAAGATTTCGAGCTGCTGAAGCTGTCGAGATACTTGGAGCTAATAGCCGACATAGATGACTTTCAGACTCTCAACCACAGGAAGTGGGAGGAGTACAAGCCGAAGAAGAGCGACCAAAGTAATGAGCAGACTAGCAGCAGTGAGAAAAGTTAAATTTGGACTTAAACTTTCGTCTTGCCGCTTTGACGAGGGCAGTCGATCGATTGGAGGGACACGCTATTGATTGACTGGAGGAGTTCGGGGTGACTTCGAGATTGTACGTGACAAGGTGAATGCACGGAGGGAGATGTATTCGTCGGCTATTATTAAAATCACGACTGAAAACACAAGGCTGTTCTACGTACGTTGGATAAGAATTGACGAGACTGACTTGGGCGTCAGTTTCCGTCGCGTCGCGAGAAAATTTGTAACGCGCGATACTCCGAGAACATACGTATTTTCACACGTTTCTTATTCTATGTACTTGTGATGTATTTATCGGTTGGTTGTGTACACGCATGTAAGAGCCTTTTTAAATAAGCTGCACAATGGGTGCAATGACGTAACGCGATTTTGAGTAAATCCACGCGTTGTGCGTCAGATGCGTACTTTTTTACGTGTAGCCTTTGTTACATGGTGCGCCTTGCGTCGAGACGCCGGCGAACTTTAAATCTGATACGGCACGAGACCGTTTGTCTACATTTACATTTGCGTGGTCGCGCTGCGTGGGTTTGGCGCAGCATATTTTAGCCTTTAATCATTGTAATACGCACTGATTATGCAAACCGCAATATCTATCTTATAAATACATTAAATGCTAGCGTTGGCGAATTTTATTTAAGGGAGTTCAAACGATTTTTAAACTGTTAAATAAGATACTGTTTCCATTTTTCATACTGATTTTAAGTATTACGGAAGGATATAAAATACGAAAAGTTCACGTAACGATTGTAATAAAGCTAATTTATCCGAAAGCCCGATTCTCAAATTCCGTCCACCTTCCAAGCTTCTCGGCGCCTTCGGAAGCTTCTTATCTAGACCAGACACACATTATTCGCGAAATATATTCACAATTTTTTTTCTTGCAAAAACTTATACGGATAATATCTTCTGCTTACAATTAGACAAGTTTAATTTGTTCTCACTAAATTTTTATATTCTACATGTATCATTTCTGTAACAGTGAACGCAATTTTGAAAGAGACAGTTGTACTCTTCGTACACAAGCAGAAATATAGATTTAAACGATATAACTCGATTTATTGACGTGGATGACATTTTACCGAGCGTTTGGACCCTCGCCGAGCTTCATCAGCCACGGTAATGAAGAACTGAGCGAAAGATCTGGTTCTAATTAAATGAGAAGCAAGCGCGAGCGTTAAACGAGGCATAATACAGCGTAGGAGTCACGTCGAAGGTGCAAGCATAAATAGACAAAATAAAACAATAAATGGAAAGGTATTAACAAATGTGCGAAAGGACCGCCGCGCCGTGCGTGCATCCCGCCTCAATGATTCATATGCTACCAATCGGGTCAAGAATAACTCTCTAATCATACGAATCGGGGAAAGGCACTTGGCCGGGGTATCGAGCGACCGGCTGCCCATTGAGGAATAATAGAATTGATTCTCGATTCTCTCCTCCTTCCCCGACGGTCCCGGCCCGAGCGGCCGCTCAGCATCGCCTGCCACATCGAGGGAAGCGTAATAATCGACTGAGCGACTGACGAGCGTTAGTCACGAGCAACATGGCGAACGCTCGGTGGTAGGCGGATATTTTGCGGGACGCGGAAACGTCATACATGCTGGCCCGTAGCTGTCAAAGCCGCAGACAAGCAGAGGGATGGAGCTGTTCCGCACCGACACCCATTTCATCTTCGTGAAGGAGAGGCACAGCCTCTGGTGCGACAAGTTCACCGGCGAGTTCGCCGCGAAATCAGGTGGGCGCGCGTATACAATTAAATTCGCTACGTTTGCGAAGCGTCGCCCGCGAGGAGCGATCTCGCGACGTCGCGCGCGAGTCCTCCGCTCCGTTTCAAGCGCGGACACGTGCGTCACGTCGACACGGGGCTTCGCGTTCGATGACAGCGCGTTCTAATAAATGGACTTCTTGACAAAGGAGCGAATTGCATCTGAGGTTTGACAGCTGGGCGTTTAACTATCCTGATGCTTCGCAGATTGGGAATGGGCCACGCCGAAGGATCTGGAGTGCCTCGGGATGTTTTACGGGATAGTGGGGAAAATTGAACAGACGTCGGTGCTGGAGCCTCGCCTGATGCTCATAAAGGACGTCACGCCGGCGGGGGAGCTGCACGGCGGCCACGTCGTCTACAAGATCAAGTCTATCGCGTTTCTCCACGTCGGCACGGAGAACACGGACATCGGCCTGCTGCCCTGCAAGAAGCATCAGTACGTGCTGAAGAAGAAGGGGAGCAGCGGACTGTTCGACGTGCCGCAGAAGGCGGCTCTGGCGAAGACCTGGGGTACGATCAAGAATGCCACGAACAGCATAAAGAACACCACGCAGCACGCTGCCGCGCTGGCTACGTCGCAGGTAAGGAATCTCATATTCACGCCTCGGGGGTCGAATGGGTGAGGCGCCTGCCTTAGCGAGAGGAAGGTCCAGGTTCAAACTCTGGCCGAGGTATTATTTTTCGCAATATACTTATAATTAAAATTATTTAGACACCCTGTCACACGGCTCTTTAGTCTTTACTTCTTCGAATTTGTGAATCTCAGAGGGTTTAGCACCCCTGTGGAATTTATATTTGGCGTCTCGCGGAATTTACAAGGCTCAATATTTCTCCAGATGAAGTCCACGGTGACGAAGCGAGGCGTGATGAAGGACAAGGACAGATTCGAGAGGAGAATATTGGAGGAGCTAAATAAGATATTCACCGAGACCGATTCGTTCTTCTTCTGTCAGACTGGCGATATCACTAACAGCTTGCAGCGACAGTGCGTGCTGGAATCTCACGGCCAGGACAGTCGAGAGAAGCCGCTGTGGCAGCGCGTCGACGACAGATTCTTCTGGAACAAGCACATGTTGCAAGACATTATTAATCTGAATGTTAGTAATCTTTACAAATAATAATTCCGCTCGTGTTATATTAAAACAACAAGTAAACAAATGAGGCCAATCTTAACGAGCACGAAAGTTGACAAAGTAATATATGTTTTAAATTTCAAAGATGTTACAGTCGAAATATAACATTTCGGCACACAGTGCTTTCAGCGCAAGTTAAAATTAAATTGCTTTATCAACTTTCGTCATTTGTTTACTTGTTGTTTTAGTAATCTTTATTTGTGCGTACAGCAGACTCCGGATAATAAGACAGAAGAGACTACGTTTTCCCAGACAGGCATTCTGTGACATTGCTGTATGATTGTACACGCCTGAAATTTGTTGCATAAAAAGTATTTTTACTTGCTTAACTGATAAGTGGATATATTATTTGGAGTCAGCTGTATAACGGTGCTGTCCAGCCATTCGAACTTTGCGTTTCTTTGTATAACATTTGCATATGTCTTACTCTGCAGACAGATAAGGCAAACTGCTGGATATTGCCGATCATTCAAGGATACGTTCAGATAGAAAAATGTATAGTCGAGGTGGGATTTGACGAACAACCGCAACAAGAGATATTTAATTTAGCGATTATATCAAGGAGGAGTAGGTTCCGCGCTGGAACTAGGTAACGTTTATTCCTTTTGTATAGTTTTTATGTCCACGTGTAGTCGTACGTCCGTTCCTTATAGCCGAACTAGCTGCAGTGTTTCAGAGTTTATCTTCTTCCTTCTAATGTGGAGGAAAAAAGATAAACTCTCAACTAGCGCAGTCAATTCAGCTATAAAGAACAGACCTCTCAATCATGAATCTTATTTTATCCAATGTATTAAACGTATTAGGATAAAAAAATATTTCTAACTCGTAACATCACGCAGATACAAGAGACGCGGAGTGGACGACGATGGCAAGTGTGCAAATTACGTTGAGACTGAACAATTAGTTTGGTATCACGACCATCAGGTATCCTTTGTGCAAGTACGAGGAAGCGTGCCGGTATATTGGTCTCAACCTGGGTATAAATATAAACCTCCGCCGCGGATTGATAAGGGTAAAAAGATTTTTTTTTTACTCGAACTGGACTAGAGCGTCTTAATAGAATGTAATGTCTTCTTTCGTATAACGACATTGCAGACGAGGCTGAAACGCAGATAGCGTTCGAAAAGCATTTTGGCGAAGAGCTTGCATTGTACGGGCCTATTTGCATTGTTAATCTGGTCGAACAGTCTGGCAAAGAGAGGATCATTTGGGAAGCTTATAGCGACCACGTATTTAATTATAATCATCCAGATTTAACATACACCATTTTCGATTTCCACGAGTATTGGTAGGTAATCTAAGCAAAGTATAATCGCTTGAATCTCGCGCTTCTCCTCTCCGTTACGAGTTCATTATCTTGGAAATTTTGTGTTTAACACAGTCGAGGAATGCATTTTGAGAATGTGTCTATTCTGGTTAATGCATTGGCTACGATGCTGGCAGTTATGGGCTACTGCTGGCGCGATAAACAAGGTACGATTTGCACGCAAAAAGGCATATTCCGTGTGAATTGCATAGACTGCTTAGATAGAACGAACGTGGTGCAAACCGCTCTGGGCAAAGCTGTTATGGAAATGCAATTTTCAAAATTGGGACTGATACCTCCTGACGGGATTCTGCCTGTGAACATAAGACAGACTTTCCAATCGCTTTGGGCTAATAATGGAGACATTATTAGCAAGCAATACGCGGGAACAAATGCTCTAAAGGTCTGTACATATCAGGGTGCCTGTGCGAAATCTGCTTTAATACAGACCATTAATTTTCTAAGTGATTTTCTACACGACAATTTCGTACTATTTGTAGGGAGATTATACGCGTACCGGGGAGAGAAAATTTACCGGGCTGATGAAAGACGGCATGAATTCCGCAAACAGGTAGACCCCTTCGTACTCTTATCTCTCACGCATTTTGTATATTCGCTTAATTTTGTTCACTTTTTAGTTTTCCTCTTTTATTTCCAACATCTCACATAACACGAACCTTCACAGTTATCATACCTCGAAGATAATGTCCCAGAGTTAAATGTCTCAATGTTATTGTATAGAACCCTGACATTGTCCTTTCATTTTCCTATAGATACTATCAGCAACACTTTATGGATGACTTACGTCAGGCGGCGATAGATACGCTGCTAGGGAACTCGATTGATGTTCACCAACTGAACAACGATTGGTCACACTATTTAGATATCCTTGATAATTGCTGTCTCGAACTTATACCTATGAAACCACCAAATATACAACTTCAACTTGCTACTCATCCTGACTTCCTTTATGCCACTACTCTATATAATTTAGCAAGGTTCGTTGCTTGCTTTTAGCCTAATTTCTGGGAAACATACAGCAGCTATGCTTTTCTAAAGATTCATTTAATTATTTATTACTTGTCAAATTACGTGGCGTAAAAAGAAGTGCTGTGTGCTGTTGTCAGCATGAGAAGTTGTTTTTGTTATGCTATGAAAACCCTTCTGCATGTTTAATTTTTACTTTGTATTCTTCCTTTATTTTAAGATTTTAACTTGACTCGCAAGTCGATCATTTCTGTAAATGCTATCAATCGATAAATTAGATGTAACAGGAACCACCTTCCCTTATTTACAAACTTTCTCTTATTTATAAACAATTTCTTTTGTATACAGAATATGATTTGTTAAACACTCTTTGAATGGAATACTTTCTCAACGCTAGTCTGTCTCTGAATCATTTCACCATTTTCAGCATAGTTATGTATTCAAAATTGAAATGTCTTTGCAGATATTACTTAAATCGTTTCAAGGATGTCTACAGACAAGCGACGATTGATATAATGTTGGGGAATTCAGTGAGTGAAGAGGTGTTCCTGGAACGCACGGACGAGGAAGACAACGCGGCGACCGCGATTCACGTGAAATTGCTGATTGAAGATTGCAAAAAGTTACTTATACCTGATCCGGAAATTATTCTAGGCAGTTGGGGAGTTATCGACGCCGATCCTGTGTACGTACGAATAATTTCGATGTTATCCATAATACGTTGCGTCTATTTATGAACTTGTTTCAATGAAATTCTTTTCTTATTTTAGTACTGGCGATCCAACGGAGACGGAAATGGATACTATCTTGATACTGACCCGAGATAGCTATTACATTGCCGACTATGACGATCAAATCGACAAAGTCACAAACTACCAAAGAGTTTTGCTAGATGACATCGTACTAATTGAATTCGGTCAGCCTGAAAACACGGTCTCATTTTTCAAAAATAAACATTACCACTGCATTAGAATCAATTATAAGGTAAACGGCGAGTACGGCTACTTTCACATGTTTCGTAGTACGAATTTAAGGTTTTTCAATAACATGGCGGTTGTGATCAAAACTGAGGAGGAAAGCATAGGTGAGAGAGCATCTCCTTTATTTATATATGTATTGTAACAATTGAGAACAAATGTCACATCCCAAATTTTTGAAATTGCAGAATCGTTGAAGGCAATTTGTGAAGCTATTTCAGTAGCCATGGAGATAGCAAACTTGCCAAAGGTTCCCGTAGCCATGAATGTTGCGTTAGATAAAAGAAAGAGTAAATTAGTAAATGTTAAAGGCTCTACTGGATTGTTGGACATTTCATCGTTTCCAGAACTAACGCGAAACGTATCTGAGACACAATTACTTGCTTTAAAGACAGCAGGTTCGTTGTTAAATTTTACTTCTAGTATTTTATATATTGTATAATAACGCGAATAAATATTTATAAATGTGGAATACTTCTAGGCACAAAAGCTTTAAGCAATATGTCGGAGCAATTTAGCAAACTGAATAAACTAAGCCAGAGTTTTGGTGCAAAGAAGCCAATTAATTCGGCAAAGAGTGTAAGTGACAGAAAGACGGAGAGGACATCAAAGCCGATCTTTACTGTCGGCAATAGTAATATCTCGGGCAGTGCGGAAGAGAAGAGTAACAGTAGCAGGAGCAGCAGCAGCGGCAGCGATGACGAGAATATTGAAATGGCGCGGGTACACGTCGAGAAGCCAGCGAACTTCAGTCACGACAAGCACTTGATGGAAGCCTATACGCCATTGATTGGTATTATTATGGGTGTGAAAAATACCAACGTTGTAGACGGTAGTGTTTGTGAGACCAATGCGAACAAGGAATTATCCAGGATGAGACACAACGACATGAATTTGAATTCGAAGGCTGATGTAGCCATTGACGCATTGCATCTGATTCCGCAGACTGGGTCTGGCGCCAGCACTCTCAGCGCTTCGCCGCAGAAGACTACGGCGACTACGCCGGAGATAACAGTGTACGACGTAGGGGGTAACGTAGGTGAGGAAAGAGACCGGATGATGCCACCGTCAACCTTAACGTTTTCCAAAAATATCAGTCATTCGACAGGCGACGTGGATAATAAAGCGTTGGCCGGCATTAAGAGCGCCACTCTTCAAATGGATAATAGGTTGGACGAGAAGAAAAGGTCAGCCTCTGAACAGGATTTGGTATTGAATATTACGTCGTCCCAGAGCGAATCTGCCTTAAAATCCATAAAGGAAAATATCGCGAGCGTTACTAGTCCAGTAGCATCTACAGCCAAAGATATTCTGTTGCCGTTTTCAAAACTGGCGAAAGGTGTTCAAACGTTAGGAGCTAATTTAGATCCCAGAAAGCTAAAGACGGGCCACGTAATGCGAAATTTGTCGGAACACCACATGGAGGAGCGTCAGAAACTTCAGGAAAGATGGGCCTCTTGTCAATCTAAACTTATTGCTTTGTAAACTTTACCCGAACGCGATTCCTCATTAAATATCAATTTAGAGCTTATCAATGATCGCGTATTCGTAAACATTAAAATCTTTAATATTTACGAATAATATGAGGATATTCAGTATATCAGCGATGCAAATGCTATTACGCACTCTTAAAAAAAGAATAAAGTATTAAAGATGTTGTATTATAGACAGTTTTATTATATATAGATTGCATAATTTAATATGAAAAAATATCATGTAGTAAGTAGCGAATTTCGATCACATTTTGTAGAAAATCTTATAAATCGGTCTCACTGCACCTATTTTCATATATTTTCACAAATATAACATTGATGTGAAACATACGAAACAATTCACTGTAGGAAAGAGAACTGCATGTTGTAACAAACAAAACTAATTATAATTAACACAAAGTACAATGTGGTCAATATTTATTCGTATTTAATTTGACGAGTTAATAAATACTGAGCACAAACAATATAATTGACAAATGAACTGAAGAATTTCTGTATTGCTATAGCATTGTGCTGTTTTTAGAACTTTTTTTTACAAGCCGACATCTATAAAACGTATAAAATTTACCATACATTTGCTGAATTTTTGGGACCTATTTTTATATTTTTAATGTAATTTTCTGAAACTTATCTATTTAATGCGACCAATCTGTATAAAAAAATTGATACGTAAACATTCTATAACAAGATTGAACATTTTATTCTTATTGAATTATTAAGTTTTGCCTGAAGTAGTTACCGAAATTTTATTTTCTCAGCAGAATAAAATATGTTATATTCATTAAGTATAAATAGATACTTTTTTTATATTAAAATATATAAAATGAGTAACGTAAAATGCAGATGAGACGATTTATTTGTACGGAGAATCGGGGGAGGGAAGCTTCATAGTCAATTATGTAAATACAGATGATTATTTAAATATAGTTTAGTAAAATTTATATACAATATAATGTATGGAGTTATAACGTGATATATGGTTTTGAGATATGTGGTTACCAAACACCGAACAAAGATACATGACTATTCTACCATTGTTAGCTTATCGAGAGATATGTGCTAGAATTTTTTTTTAGATAATACGTATAATTGTTTTTATTTAAAAAAATACAAATATAAAAATTAAAGACTTTTGTTAGGTAAAAAAATTGATTAATTTATGAATTTATAAATGTGGTATGTACAAGATAGCTGATATAATTTAAGCGTGCAACAGCAGAACTGAATAGTAAGTTCGTGTACTGAAGTCGCGTTTGTATTAGTGTTATAATTTTAGATGCTTTAACAATTGTTACGAACTTAGTATACCTTAGTATACAAGTGTGTCGAGAGCCAGCAATTGCAGTATTATATCGAGTATATGCTTATACGAAACTGCTGAATGTTCTCCTTCGTCTATGTAAATCAACGATGTAGGAGGATTAGGCACAAGAAAAGATATTACGTAAATATTATATTTATTATAGAGAACTGTAACATGACTTTACATTGTCCACTGATGTAAATAACTATCTCATTTCGATGGTTTCCATTCCCAACACGCTTTGGGAACACATCGACATTATAGCAATCCTAAGCTCGTACTTTTAGCGGATATTCTTTTTACTGTCAGCAATAGTCTGTGATACGATTTTACAGAATGCACATAGATTAAGCTCACGAGCAGAGTTTATGGAAGGCGTGCATTCTAAGAGATATTTGCAACGCTTTAGGGTAAGAATGAAACCACGCTGTTTCAGATACGCATTCTCAAAGGATTTATAATTTTCGTTTAATTAATACAAGCTCTTATCTCTTGTATTCGCTTGCTCTTAATTTAAGAAAAAAGAATTTCTTTGGAGCAATCTTAAGTTTAAATTTTGTTTAATGAATGCAATGTAAGGTCCAACGCAACTTTATATTATCGAACCTGTGTGATGTGTGCTATTGCATATAGTTGCAGTATTACGAGTGATCTGCAAAAAATAGGTGAATTGACAAAAGATTTATTCTATGCCAAATTAGATCGCTAATACTCAAAGTCGATAATTAATTGAGAAAAAGATCTTTTTCATCCAAAAAAATCATCTTTTAATGTTTTCCTTTGAGCTTCAGGTAAATATTAATACATTTATACTTGTATATCTGCATGTATTTATATGTATTAACTATTAGTAGAAATTTATTATTATAAATTATTTCTTAATTCATCTGTTCTTTGCGAGATAAAACATCGGTCGTACTAAATCATACGTAAAGGCTCTAGAGGCTTGACGTGCCCCTTACATGTATCTGCTATTGTGTTTCCAGGAAATTGTAATAATAAAAAAATTCGCGTATACACCAAACAGCAAACGTTCACAGCACTTGTAGAACAAATAATAATAAATCACATTTTTGACTTGTGAGTAATTGAGTTTTTTCAATTCGTATCTTCCGAGATCTTACTTTCAAACAAACCAATCTTGAAGTTATTTAAAATATTCTAATTGTAATTGGAAATAGTTCAAATTCTATTTCTCTGTGCTGTATCTAACAAGGGGACACTACGACCTGGGAAATGAAGTTCGGAACGAGGCTTCGTGTGGTGGTAGTTTACCCTTAGGGTGTTAATGTACTAAAATATTAGGACGAGATGATCAGCCAGTTTCGAGAAAAAAGGGTTCAAAGTTTTCGAGCACCTTACATACGGAAAAGTTATCCCTTTCTCCAAGTGGTCCGGCGGCTCAGGCGGTAGCGTGCTTGCTTCACGAGCCCGAGGTAACGGGTTCGATTCTCGGTTGTTGCAACTTTTTTTTTCCGAAAAATTAATGTATTTTTTAAATTTATTTATGGAAACCGTTTTTTTCGCGAAATTTTCAATTTCTAACATTTTTCATATATATTTTTATTGTTACAAGTACATATTTACGTGGTAATAAAGTTTTTTCAGCGGAATATTGTGTATGGAAAAAATATAAAATTCATTTCATGCAAATAACGAAATAAAACAGGAATAATATTCATAATCTGTTACACATATTTATTGTTAAACTATAATGATTTACAGGGACTGGAATGATAATTGTCATAGAAGCATGGAAAACAAAAGTTCTTTCGACAATTCGCACAACAAATAAATGAGGATTTTTTACAAGAACAGGGTGTTTTAAGAATATCCATTGAAAAGCACACCTCGTTTAGCTTTTCAATGGATATTCTTAAAACACCCTGTTCTTGTAAAAAATCCTCATTTATTTGTTGTGCGAATTGTCGAAAGAACTTTTGTTTTCCATGCTTCTATGACAATTATCATTCTAGTTCCTGTAAATCATTATAGTTTAACAATAAATATGTGTAACAGATTATGAATATTATTCCTGTTTTATTTCGTTATTTGCATGAAATGAATTTTATATTTTTTCCATACACAATATTCCGCTGAAAAAACTTTATTACCACGTAAATATGTACTTGTAACAATAAAAATATATATGAAAAATGTTAGAAATTGAAAATTTCGCGAAAAAAACGGTTTCCATAAATAAATTTAAAAAATACATTAATTTTTCGGATAAAAAAAAAGTTGCAACAACCGAGAATCGAACCCGCTACCTCGGGCTCGTGAAGCAAGCACGCTACCGCCTGAGCCGCCGGACCACTTGGAGAGAGGGATAACTTTTCTGTATGTAAGGTGCTCGAAAACTTTGAACCCTTTTTTCTCGAAACTGGCTGATCATCTCGTCCTAATATTTTAGTACATTAACACCCTAAGGGTAAACTACCACCACACGAAGCCTCGTTCCGAACTTCATTTCCCAGGTCGTAGTGTCCCCTTGTAAGTTAACTGATATTTTCTTCATTTGTAATGAGCGATTAATTAACTTAAATGCAGATATTTATGTACATAATTTCCTGTTGGTGATGCAATCAGACCCTTTTCTGTATCTGTGCATTACGTAACCTATTGCATTTCATGTTTTCGTATCATTTTGCTATAATTATATTTTGTATGATTAATAAATGTTTCTAACATCAGAGAGAAACCTGAGAGCGGCCACGCCGGCGTTTTACTTGATTCCAATTTTCTTCGACTGAGACAAGACAAGACAATACAAGTAAGTTTCCTGATAAGAGCATACATACTCAACGTAGACATCTGCGGGTTGCGAAACGAAGAAGATTGGTTTTGGATTCATCTCGCTACGTCGATTTTTCGCCGAGTTATAGAGTTTTAAAAATCGGGCGCGCGCGCACCATTCTTCTGAGAATGTCGCGCGAGTTTTTACGCGAGTAGTAAGCGAGCATAAAAAAACTGGTATCAAAAAACTGGCATAAAAACATACAAGGCACAGGTGTTCGATAAACACCGCCGCGCCAGACGCCGCGCGAGACGACGCATACACGAGCCGAGCCGTCTGCTGCTTGTCTCGGAATTATGATCAACAGTCGATATAATCGTCAATTTCCTCGCACAGAATAATCGTAGCAAGATGATCCTGGTCTTGTTGAAAAGATAAGATTTCAGCGCTTCTAACGAGATAAGAATCGTTCAACTCGGATCATTAGTTTATGCGATAACGTTAATGAATTCTGGGAATAAAATTAATTACATACCGAGATCGAAAAAAATCATGAGTCAATATAGTCATCAATATCTTCGCACAGAATAATCATAACAAGATGTACCTGGTCTTGTTGAAAAGCTAAGATTTCAGCGCTTCTAACCAGATAAGAATCGTTTATCACGGATCCTTAGTTTGTGCGATATCGTTAATGAATTCTGAAAA